CAAGTGTAAGATCAAAACGAAGCTCCAAAGCCTTTTAAACTAGGTATAAAACTCAAACCCTAAGCCTTCTCTATCATGGTGGTTACAAGGCACACATAGTGCAGAAGGAGAAAAACTTATAATCACGAGAGAGACAATGAAATAGATGAGTAATATTCACGCTCTTCGGTGCATCATGGCTCATGTTGCGGTCTTCACTCTCAAGGAAGTTCTCTTCTTTCGTGATTCTTTTCTCTGCATTTCCTGTTGATTGTTTTGCGGGTTTTCTGATGATTTTTCCACATTCAGTCGTTCTTCGACTGAATGATGGTTAATCAACCGAATGATCTAGCCTTTTTGAGTCGGTAATTGAAATCTCGATCATTCTTAGAAGCTCTATTCAGATAGGCACCTTCGATTTTCCTGAGTTGAAAATCACTCACTACCCATCGTGTTTTACCCACGTTATGGATTTCGGAGGAGGAGATAACTGCTCTGGAGGCACCTTTTGAGTTTGATTTGGTTGGAAAATTTCTAAGACATAGACCTACTCTTTACTCAATTCATAGATTTTTCTTTAACCTTAAACTTATTGGTGGTTTCTATGTTACATGCCCACTTAATTGATGTTTAATGTGCCTGAGCCGCTAGCTAATGTTGATATTGCTACCACTAAGCATGTTTCGAAGGGGTGTTCTACTATCGTTCCTCAGAATATTGTCGTGGATAATTTTAAAAATCATTCTTTGATTAATGTTGGTGATGTTGTTTGACTGTCTGATGATGTTATTAATTTGGCTAATGAGGGAAATATGAATGTATTGGATGTTATTCATACTAATGCTCCTATCTCTAATGATTTAATTATTTCTCATATTATGATTTTTGATGAGCACCAGGTTTCTAGAAATGAGGGGATTATGCCCTTTGTTGATGATGGTTTGGGTCGGCAGGGAATTACTAATGCTTTTGCCTAGTCGGAAATTGATTGTAGCCCCTTAGTTCAGAACCGTTCTATTGATCAAGAAATTGTGATTGAACCGGTTGGACTGGAATGTAAAGTCAATCGGGTGGATGTTCTTGAGCCTTCTATGGAAACTGCTAATTCCTTAGATCCTAATGATTAGTCAATGCTGTTAAAAAGAGCGGATGTGAATGATAATATCCCTTTCATAGATGTTCTCATTTTTATCATTTCTAATTATGCTTTGCTTGCTCACTTATCATTGAAACTCAAGTATTGTATGCCTCAATCTGATTGGTTAGTTGATCGTGACTCATCAGCTAATTGGGATGTGGGGGAGGAAAATAGAGAACTCGGGGAGGATTTTTAGGATCTCTATGGCTTGAATGTTGCTCGAATCGATGATGAACCCTTTTACAAGGTGGTTGGTAAATGAAGCTGAAGAAATTAAAAAAAAAAAGAAATATTTTTTTTCCTTGTGTTGGTTGCTTCTTCCCTTGTTGGTGATGGGCTTCTGTTTGAATGTTGTTATTTTTGTTTTTGCTAGTTTGGGTGGCAGGTTTTTTTCTTTTTCTTTTGTTGTTGATTTGGTTTGGCTGGCTTACCTTATGGCGGATTGGTTATTTTTTTATTGCGGGTCTCTGTTGGTTTGTATTTTTTTTTCTTTTTTCCTTGCAGATGGTGATCTCTATTTGGGTTGTTGGGTGGTCATCTTGCACTTCACTTCCATATGTTGTTCCTGTGGTTGGTTTGTGGCCTTCTGTTGTGGGGGTGCTGCTCCCTCTGTACTTTGGTTTTCTTTTTTGTTTTCATTTATTGTATCCAAAATAGATTCTTAGGCCTTATAGGTTAACGTTGTCTTTTTTCTTCTTCTATGTAGCTTTTTGGAGCATTAGCTGGCTTAAGATCCTTTATAGACTTGTAATCGCTTTCTTATTTAACACATGGGTCCTTTTTTATGATTTTATAAATAAGGCACACAATGCAAGATTACACAAATTTCTTAAACAATTTGGTAGCTCTCATCTTTCCACTCCATTTTGCTCTTGCAATCAAATGATTTCATAAAATATAAGATGAGATATAATTATTAGTAACTTTGTGCTTAACATAAGACCCAGAGCTACTCGATCTCTGATCAATAGTTCTAGATTAGTTGTTTTTTGTATTTTATGTTTATATTCATGTATCTAATTTATTTAAACCAATCAAAAAAGAAAATCCTAAAAAATTACTGAACCTATGTGCACTTATCTACATGCAATGAATACTATCATGAAAAATTGAACACTCTAAGGATATGTTTGAGATAATTTTTTTTTTCTACTTTGCTTTTTTAGGCTTCAACCAAAATTTCGTTTGGCTACAATTTTTTAATTACTTTTTAAAAGTTTTGTATCAGAAAGTTATTTTTTTACAACAGTTTTAAAAAAATTACTTTCAACACATTAGCTTTGCAATCACCTTTATAAAAAAATATATTCATTCGTCCCATACAGACCCTAAGTTTTACCAATTATAAAATTCTTTTATGTTAATTATTAATAATACTTATTTCTTTCCTATCATACTTACTAAAATAGAAAAAATATTTTAGGCAAGAGTATTTTAATAATATGCTCACTTTTAACTAGATTTTATTCATCACTTTAGGCTATTTGATTAAATAAAAAATTGAATCAAAATAGCACTCAAATTCAATTTCTATAGTTATATTGTCATTATTTTCATAAACAATAAAGTAGAAAAATGCTTAATTTGTGCTAGTAAAATAATGAAAATGGCCCTCTTTATGCTCTTTGTTCAAATCACTCAATGTATACCATAGATAAACTTATATTATACAAACTTCATTCAATATTAGACAAGATAGAACATTAAAAGAATGCTATTGATTATAATATATATGTGTGATTCACCATGCCTACCTACATACTACCAAACCTCAACATTATTATAACATAAATATAGTCAAAGGACAACCAATTGCAATACTTAGATGCTTATTTAACCTATAGCCTACAATTTGGTGGACATGTGGATATGTGTCAAGCTTAATTTGGTCAAATCCATTTGATTAGGTAGCTACAATTAGTGCCATACCAACATGCCTTTGATGAATCAAGAATTTTGTGAAAAAAAAAGCTAGGCATCATATAAATTTAAAAAATATAAAAAAAAACAAAAGTTAAAAATATAACAAAAATAATAAAAGAAATACAAGTATCTTTTAGATAATATTTAATTGACTATGTAATATCGATGCTTAATTTAATTTTCCAATTAAATTAAAAAAAGTCAAAAGTATATCATCGTTCTTACTAGTAATAACTTCACATATGAGCAAGATATTCACCTTAAGCCTAATTACTAAAATTTCCTTCAAGATTTGGTCACAAATAAAATATGATGAGGGTGATAATGTAATTAATTCCAAAATCATTAGTTAAATTTCCGTACATGCCAACCAAGTGTAAAACAAAGGAAGATATAGATAAGTAGTAAGAAAAAAGCAAAATCCCCTTTATGCTTAATATGTGAAAATAATTGAGGGTGTTAATGTCATTTATTCAATATGTACAATACACTTCATGCATGTCATTCAAATGAAAAGATTAGGGCATAAAAGGAATTACTCCAAAATGACTTATTTACCTTTTAAAGTTTCTATTTAAATGGTAAAACTCTTATTGATAAAAAAAATTCATTGTTCATACTTTAAGGGAAAATAAAAAGATAATACTATTTAGGTAAGTTTTGAAAATTAAATTTAAGTATAATAAGTACCATCCAAGTATAAAATGGAGTCATGGGGAGACTTTTTAATTTTTAATTTTAATAATAATAATATTATTATTTATTCTTTATTATAATAAAAACTTAATTAATAATTTTTACTCCATTAATCTCATTATAACTGATAGCTCTAACTTTTATTTCTAAATAAATTATGTTCAAAAATTATAATTAATCATGATAAAATTAAAATTTCAGAATTTATTTTAAGATAAATATAACACAAATTTAAAGATCTTTTCTGTTATAATTATTATAATAAATCAACTACAAATTATAATTGAAGATCAATAAATGAATGATACTTTAATCATCTATTAAAAAAGAAATATTTGATTATATTAATAATGAAATAATCAATCAACTCTTTTTGAATATAAAGAGCAATAAATCATAACTTTTTAATCATATTATATTTTACCTTTTTAAAATAATAAATTTAAATAAAAAATAATTTTAAAACTATAAAAAATATAATTTATGCCCCATTAATTCATAAAATTATTTTTTGATGCACAAGAGTATCATAATAATATAAATGTTCATTTCATAATATGAAGCATCATTAATAAATATTTGATACACTTGACAATATTCTAAAGAAGTTAAAGGTATCTCTTCCTAATTTCTAACATCTTCAATGTTAGCCTCTTTCTCAGATCTATGTTTCGAACAAACCTAAACACATTTACAGTACATTTCATCTCTTCTACAGCCCAAGGGTTGATGTTACGTTTTGATAAATGTTGATCAAGCTCTGTTGGCCCATGACAAATCACATGATGCTGAGACATGTTTTTGCCATCTAATAGAGTTCAAGTCACCTTCATTTTGAGTTTGATAATATATTAATATGGGCTCCAAAAATTCAGCCCCGGTCTCCCCGCTTGCTTTTCGGGGGAGTTTTAACGGATTAAGTTCTGGGGTAAACTTTGGGAAGGCAACTGGGTTTGTAGATAAGACACTACCCAAAGATTTCATCCTCATTTTGCAAGGACTTTATGATTTGAGTTCTAGTTTCCTATAGGCGCTAGCCTCTATAGTTAATTACCCCTCTCGATCACGAGAGAGAACTTTCGATTAAGGCTAGTCATCAATCAGATACATAGAAATGCGTGTTATCTAGCATATAGTAGCAGCATGTGTTTAAGGGATGTGAGATTGAATTTTTAAAATAAAAATTTCAACATCTTACCTAAATTAAGAGATGAATGAAAAATATTTGATCAGAGTTAATTTCACAGTTGAGGCACAATACTTACCTAATATAAAGCTAAATCATTCACGAATCAACCGGATATTGAGAAAGAAAAACAGAATGGCAGAAGAGCAGCCACAGTTTATGATTTCTCCAGCAGCAGGCTTCTAAACTTAAGATCTACTAAACTGGATTAATCAAATGAAAGTAAGAAGACAAGTCAGCGTATGCTGATATTTATATTTAACTTGATAAGAAACATTAACTTGCAACAAGAGAAATAAGACATTCCCAACAGCATAATAGCAAAACCTATGACCAAGGCTTCGTTTAGGATGACTTTCTTACTGCTTCTTAAAACAATTTTTTAGTATAAAAATTTTAATTTTCAAACTAAAAAAATTGCTTTAAGAAGTAAAAAAACAGTCCCAAATGAAACCTGAGGCTCCAAGTAATTGAGATTTTGTGCTCAAGACTTACAGATGAAATTTACAGTACTACACATAAGCTGCGCGCTCTGTTGCCTTCGGTTGTGAATCTTTTGAACCCACAGCTATTTAATATATCTATATGTTATATATGGCAATGTAATATGTGAGTTGAATAGACATAATTATATCCCATCATGCTAATAACATTATATAAAGTTCAATGTGGGGCACAGAATATAAGCTGAAGGAACTGCCAGACCTTGTCAATCATGAAACATCTTTACAGACTTTGTGCAAATTAGTTTTGTATGGTCACATTTACAGTACATTTCATCTCTTCTACAGCCCAAGGGTTGATGTTACGTTTTGATAAATGTTGATCAAGTTCTGTTGGCCCATGACAAATCACATGATGCTGAGACATGTTTTTGCCATCTAATAGAGTTCGAGTCACCTTCATTTTGAGTTTGATAATATATTAATGTGGGCTCCAAAAATTCGGCCCCGGCCTCCCCGCTTGCTTTTCGGGGGAGTTTTAATGGATTAAGTTACAGGGTAAACTTTGGGAAGGCAGCTGGGTTTGTAGATAAGACACTACCCAAAGATTTCACCCTCATTTTGCGAGGACTTTATGATCTGAGTTCTAGTTTCCTATAGGCGCTAGCCTTTATAGTTAATTACCCCTCTCGATCACAAGAGAGAACTTTCGATTAAGGCTAGTCATCAATCAGATACATAGAAATGCATGTTATCTAGCATATAGTAGCAGCATGAGTTTAAGGGATGTGAGATTGAATTTTTAAAATAAAAATTTCAACATCTTATACTTAAAACAGATGGTGGGGGAATGGATAATGGACCTAATCAAGATCCCTTGATTCCATTGTCCCGGGCCATCATGGTCCCTGGTATACTTAGTCAAAGGAGATAGTCGACCCAACCTGATAGAAGGATTCTTGTCGGCAGTCATGGGTTGCTTCGTCCAAGGGTATACCTTATAGACCTGAGGTGGATGTTTGTCTAAGGGGACAAACTTGAATTTGTTTCCCCTGTTCCCATGTTGGCTCAGGAGGGGCCGACTGGACCGGTCCAGGTTTTTGTTTGGCGGAAGAAACAGGGAGAGGGGGGCGGAACTCCTGTGGGCCCCATGATGGGCTTAATGCAATTTTTTGGGGAAAATATTTGAATGTAAGGACTGATTAGGTAAGTTGTGATTCTACTTTGATGTTAATCAGGGGAATAGGAGGGAATTAGGATTATCATGAATTTGAATTGTAATTTGAGATCTAGAGTTCTTTTGCTTTGGGCTCTTGGCGTTGCCGGAGATTTGGAGAGTTGTTCTTCCTCTTAGATTGAAGAACAATTGTATCTTTGCTATTTTACTCATCGTGTAGTGGAATACAAGTCTTGCTTTGAGTTTTCCTTCAGTTTTCCTCTGGATTTCTGCTGTAAACAGCAGTTTGCTATTGCTTTCCTGCTGTGGAAAGCAATCTAGTCGGTGTTTTTTTCACCGATTTGGGCTAGTTTTGCTTGCGAACTAGAGTATTACCTTAGGGTTACTTGCGAACTCAAGTATTTTCTATCAAATTGGTATTAGAGCATCGATTTGGGACCGTCGGCGGCTGAAATCTTGAAATTTCAGCGAATTTTTTTTTCCCGGAAGAAGATTTTCATGATTCTTGGGAAGATAGATGGCCGGGAAGAAGGTAGAGGTCTTGGAAGGCGAGATCGGTCAACTAAAATCAGATTTGGAGGGAAAGTTCTTTGACTTTCAAACTCAAATAACCTCCAACATTGAAAGGATAGAGGGGAAATTCACAGTTAAGGAAGAAATGTTGAAGAAACTATTGGAGTTGAAGACAAATCCTACGACATCGGAAGCAAGAGAGACCACCGGAAGCCATGGTGTAGAAGGAAATCCGAACCCATTTAGGGGGAGGAGAAATCCGGAAGTGGAGGTCATTGAGGGGGAGGACGGTATGCCACCTGTAGAGCCATTTTCTAGAGAGGAGATGAGTTTGGGAAATGACCGGAGGGGTACTGATTTCGTCGAGAGAAGGGAAGAATTTCATCGCCGGGGCGCTGATTTTGAAAGGAGCAGAGGGAAATACGATGAAGGTTTCGGGTATAACCGTCGGAGGGAAGATCGTGACAGTTAGGGAGCACCTCTTTTTTGATGAATGGGAGGTTATGGAGGATTCAGGGGAAATGGGGGAGACCAACGGGTGAGGAAGCTGAAGATGCCCGTCTTTGAGGGTGAAGACGGACATGGCTGGATCTACAAGGTGGAGTGATACTTTGTTGTCAACGGGTTGACAGAGGACGAGAAGTGATAGCAGCGAGTTTGTGTTTGGAAGGAAAAGCCTTGGCATGGTTTCAGTGGCGTGACAGGAGGGAGCCCATCCGGAGCTGGAGAGAGTTCAAAGATTGCTTATTGGAGCTTTTTCAAGATGACAGGGGAGGAGATTTCTATGAGCAATTCTTTGCTTTGACTCAGAAGGGGACTGTGGCAGACTACTGGGACAAGTTTGAGTACTTGGCTAGCAGATTGAATCACATTTCAGAGTCGGCCCTGGAAGGGAACTTCATGAAGGGGCTTAAACCTGAGATACGTACAACATTCAGGGTGCTGGAGCCGAGGAACCTAGGGAAGGCTATGGAGCTGGCGCAGTTGGTGGAAGATTAGAAGAAATGAGAAAGAGGAGCTCGAGGGAACTATTTAGGGGGATCATACAAGATGACTACCACATTCTTACCATCAAAAGGGGCAGCTCCAGGGGGTCTGAAGGAAGCACCAAAAGAGAAAACTGGCGGGAGAAATGAGGGATGATTAAAAAAGCTGACAAAGAAGGAGATGCAGGATAAGAGGACAAAGGGGTTGTGCTTCAGATGTGATGAGAAGTACATGCCGGGGCATAGGTGCAAGGACCGAACTCTTCAGGTTCTCATTATCTATGAAGACCAGGAAGACGAGGAGGGAGTTGGGAGCAGATCTGAAGAGGAGGAGGAGGAGAAGTTGCACCTGAATGTGACAGAAGTCTCTCTGAACTCTGTCGTGGGATTCACTCCGAGTCACACTATGAAAGTGAAAGGAAAGATAGTTGACCGTGAGGTGATGGTGTTGATTGACAGTGGGGCAACCCACAATTTCATTTCCACCCAGATCGTTGAGCTGATGGGGATGGAGTTAGTGGATACAGGAGGCTATGGGGTGATGATGGGCACGAGAAAGGTGGAAATGGGTAGAGGAGTTTGTAGAGGGGTAGTGCTGAAGATTCAGGGGATCTAGGTGAGAGAGGACTTCATTCCCTTGGAATTGGGGAGTACTGACGTCATCCTAGGGATGAAGTGGCTACAAACATTGGGGGAGACCAAGATCAATTGGGGGACATTGAGGATGGAACTGGTGATGGGAGGAAGGAGGACGATTCAGGGTGATGCTGGCCTGACCAAGGTTGGGGTATCTCTCAAATCCATGATCAGATTCATACAGGAGGTGGGAGGGGGATATCTGGTGGAGCTGTAGCTCTTGTAGAGGGTGAGTGTGGGGGATGAGGGAGACATTCCACTGGTGGTGCAACCGCTCATACATCAGTTCAAGGAGGTGTTCCAGCCACCTCAGGGCTTACCACCACCCAGAGACCAGGAGCGTGTAATCCTTCTGAAGGATGGAGTGTCACCAATTAGTGTTCGACCTTATCGCTACCCTCAAATTCAAAAAGATGAAATCGAGAAGCTGATCAGGGAGATGTTGGAGTCAGGAATAGTCAGACCCAGCGTGGGTCCTTTCTCTAGCCCCGTCCTATTAGTCAAGAAGAAGGATGGGAGTTGGAGATTTTGCGTGGATTATAAGGCTTTGAACAAGGAGACAGTACCGGATAAGTTCCCTATTCCGGTGATTGACGAGTTACTTGATGAGTTGCACGGAGCAGTAGTATTTTTTAAGATGGACCTGAAGTCAGGCTACCACCAAATCAGAATGGAGGAGGATATTCAGAAGATGGCCTTCAGGACGTACGAGGGGCATTACAAGTTCTTGGTGATGCCTTTCGGGCTCACTAACGCCCCTACTACCTTTCATTCTTTGATGAACAGAGTATTCCGGCAGCATCTCAAGAAGTTTGTGCTGGTCTTTTTTGATGACATTTTGGTGTACAACCAAATGGAGGAGCACTTGAAGCATTTGAAGGAGGTTCTGAAGATACTACAGGAACATCAGCTGAAAGCTAACCTAAAGAAGTGCAGTTTCGCCCAGTCTAGGGTGGAATATTTGGGACATGTGGTGTCTCAAGAGGGAATGACAGTCGACCAGTCCAAGATTGAGGCCATGCAGAACTGGCCAAGGCCTAGGAACATAAGGGAGTTGAGGGGTTTCCTATATCTGATTGGTTACTACAGGAGGATTGTGAAGGGCTACAGTACCATCGCGTGGCCTTTGACTGAGCAATTGAAAAAAGAACAATTTTTTATGGGGAGAGGCGGCAACCCAGGCTTTGAGAGATTAAGAAAAACCGTGACGACGGTCCTAGTGTTAGCTCTTCCAGATTTCAGCCAGACCTTTATAGTAGAGACTGAAGCGTCAACATATGGCTTGGGAGCAGTGTTGATGCAGGATCACAAGCTTGTAGCCTATTTCAGTCAGGTGTTATCGACCAGGGCTCGATTGAAGTCATTATATGAAAGAGAGCTGATGGCCATCGTCCTAACCATTTAGAAATTGCGTCCTTATCTTTTGGGAAGACACTTCATTGTTAGTA